CTCATTGGGTCTTCGTTATAATTTACACCAACAATGTACCGACACAATGAGACCACAGTAACTGCTTTCACTGACAAAGAGAAATGCAATAATGTGGCAGCATTAGGCAGAAGAAAGGCCCAGTTAATGTGGTCGTATTTTAAGAAGCAGCATTGAGGTATAGACCATTCACGAGCCAACAGCATCTCAATGCCAAGTGTTCTTAAAAATATTACGCCACGCCATTAATTAATCCGCTGGCTTGTGAAGCGTAGCTTATTCAGGCTATTCATCATGAACAGGAAATTGACAAGTTGTCCGTGGATGGAATGTCAAAGCTTAAATTTTACAAAACGAAGCAAAGGAGGTAAGCACGACTCGATCCATTCAATACCTTTTGTTTTCTTCATAGTGTCTTTGTTTGCGGAGCTTATAGAAACACACACACGATGTAGAGGAGGCCTGGAGAATAGGCAGGGTCACAGGACAGTGGGGGGAAGTTCATCGTGCAGCCATGTGTTGCTTAATGGCATCCTCCTGCTGTAAGTCAACTCAGACCATCAGGGTGGGGATGTGGAGAACATCTGTCCAGAACACACAAACACTTTGTACCACCGCAGACACCCTGTCAATCAAACATGTTCTGGCATGTCGCCGACTATCACCAGCGCCCACGACTGCTTCAGAAGACGTGTGCCTGCGCTGGCTCGGGGAGCATGTTCAAGCACAAGCACGTGCATCGACAATTGTATGAGTCTACGGGAAAGTGGGGATGACGCCATGTCTATTTTTAGTCCAGTACACCGAGTCCTGCCTCTGTGTTATGCTGCTCTGCTCCTAGGACAGGCGACCGGGTCATCAGCAGCAGCAACAGCAGCAGAGAACGCCGCAATGGCTCCAGCTCTGCTCCCTGACCCCGGCCCTCCAGTTCTTCCATCAGTGGGAGTGACCAACAAGATTCCTGGACGGCAGTTTAAGGAGGCTATCTGCTAAAAAATAGGCACTTACTTTACGGATGCCATGTTCATCCACCGCTTTCTCTCCACGGTGACTAATGGACTGATAATTCAGCTGTCACCCTGGCACATTATCTCATAGTTTCTCATGGGAAGAATACCCCCCTGGAACATCTTAGCCACAGTCTCAGCCCTGGATAAGATACAGCCCAAGATTCCCAAAGCTAGTTTACAACTTAAGGTAATGTGAAGAAAACAACTTGGGATCACATATGAAAATCAAGTTACGTACTGAGGAAAAGATATGATCACAGATGGAGAAGTTGTCAAAGAAGGTAACTTTGCTCAAGGTCTTTCTTGTTAGGCTCAGTTAGTGTAAAGGAAAATCCTCTCCACACTCATCGATGCACATGACTGATGGAACTTTGAGTCAAAAGTCATCTGAGTCATTCACAAAGGCTTCAAGGTTACAACCCCTGGTTCCTTATTCACTGCTGAGATACCATCAATATATGTTGTTCTGTTCATGCCACACAGTTGTGTAATTGTCATCCAGTTAAGTGAATTCCTTTGTTGAATGAATAGTGGAACTCTCAAAGATTGAATCTGATCTTGTCACATACAGCTGCTGGATATAAGCACAGTGAGAATTTTCTAGTACTATTACTGCAACGCACTGTACTTTACAGAGAAAAAGGCAGTCCATTAAGAAGACTTTCTCTCAGTTTTTGTGGAACTCAAATAGTTTGTTTTTTTACTTCACTGAAGAGACCCGAATGTTATACTGACTGTTTGGAAAACAACAAGAAAAATCACAACCCATGGTAGCTGCACTGAAAATATCCTGGTATCCCCAAACTAAATCTTGGTACATTGCTCCAAGGCTCCTTTCATATCTATTATTTTGTTTCAGAATAAACTGAAATGTCTGAATGTCTGGACCCAACAAGTTAGCTGTAAAACTGCACTATTGACCCAACTCTGTTCTCACATACCGATACTGATCTTTTAGCCTGTGTTGACCTTATTCCATCATTTTTATTCTGGAAGTTCATTCTATGTCTCAATAAGCTTTTGGCTTTTTTTCCTTTAAGCACCTGCTCCAGGAAACACTCATGTACGCACGCTAATCTTGCTTATCAGTATAACAGCCTGTCATTCAGGCCTCTGGGTGTTTGGGTTGAGTGATAAACTCTCACTGCTCTGCCATGTACTTGTTTAATAAAGTACTTCCACTTGACTTTACACGGCTGAGTTGGACGAGGGAGTAGTGATTGTGTCTGGGTGTCAAGCTGCTAAAAAACGTCTCTGTAATTTTATTCAACAGAAACACCTTCAAGTAGATAAGAGTTAACAATTGATAATAATCCCTATAATAGGCTTGAATGTTATGAAACCAGAAGTTAAGTGGCAGCCTCTGCTCTCTTTGTTTGCCTGCACAGGGGAGGTGGACATGTGTGCAGAGCCAGGCCCTTTATCCTTCCTGTTCAGTTACCAGAGGCCTCACACTTATCAGTTCCAGATCTCACAAGAACAGAGAGAATGAGAGACCACTGACAGGAAGGGGATTTTTTCTTTCCTCCCTCCCCCTTTTTCCTTTAGCGAGGTTAACAGAATGTCTGCACCCCTCACATTTCACAGAGGACAGCAATTATTCATAAGGGCTCACTCTGGTGCGACAGAACCAAAGCCCAACCTGGCAACCTCCAACACAAAGAAATATAAAGAGTAGTTGTATATCTAACCAAAAACTTTGATTTCAGTCATTTCAAGTAATGTCACTCACTGTCTATCTTTTGATTTTGGATGGCTGTTCCAACAAAGCAAACAATACTGCTGTTCTACATATGAGAGTGTGGCTCAGGCCAATGTTTTCTTTCCAAGACCAAGAGAAAATTAGCCGACATGGACCTGAACCTGACAGACATTCTGCTTTTGTGTCCAACCACAACCCAAGCCTAATGTTTTCCCTAATTGCAGGCGTGTGCGGCATAAAAAAACAAGTAAAGCCCAGCTAACTTGACCAAACCCAACCAAAACCTGAATCTCATTTCAAAATGTGTGGCCCAGCTCGTCAGGTTCAGAGGTCGGGTATCCACACTTTACTACAAACTCCTCAACCTCAGAGGTTACAGTTCTTTACTTGAGACTTGCCATCTTCTTTTGACTGCAGCCTTTTCATCACACCCAGCTGTATTTTTTGCCTCCACAAAGGCAAACTTACATCGACAGCGAGAGGGAAGAGATCTGTCATCGAAAGTGGGAGAGGGAGAGAAGCGACTGTGAAGCTCTCATGTCATGTCCCTGTTCATGTCATATCCCACCTCGTGTCACTTGCTCTCACTGTCTACCTCGCATGACATTTCCACAATAATCACTTTGGTTTATCCCACTCAGCTGTGTGGAGGGGCAGATGTTTGTCGGGGCACAGTATTCCTCAGCATTCGCATTGCTCTAATCAAGATTAACCACTCTTATCTATTCAGTGTGTGTGTGTGTGTGTATGGATGCTGGTTGTCCCAATTCCTAATCCATGATGCCAAAGCTGTATTGTATAATACAGTGGACGAACCAATTACATTCTCTTTCCAAAACATAATTCTCCCTTTTAGTGGATCATACACTAAACTACATATTGCATAAGGATAAACTGCTACATTGCTGGTGAGGTGGACTGTTGTGACCTTCTTTGTACATCCATCAGAATGCATACAGTACAGTACTTGTATATGGGTTAAAAAAAAACATTAAACAGACGCAACATCTCAGCACTTTGTTACTCAAAGGCCCCCAAGGAGCTCCTGATGAAATCAACATGCTCTGCAAGGTGAGCCGACCCCGGCCGCACACAAACTGCTGCCATCACATGTTTACCAAAGACACTGGAGCACAGTGGAGGACAGAGCGTGTCCGTGCAAACAAAGCTGCAGTGTTTAAATCAGTGTGTGATGGCAGGGGAGGCTGATATCTGTTTCCAGTAACAAGCTTTGTTTGATTCCAGCTGTGACACAACATCTTTTCCAGAAATATTTCAGGCAAGGCGACAACTCAGTTAATTAGGAAGTGTCCCCACATAGCCTGGGACGTCTCAGGGATTTAAAAGAAAACTAAACGAATGTGTGCACACTTATACCTAATCTGTGCTTGCAAATTGTTTACTTCTTGTTCACAAATTAAACACTCATGCTCTCAAATTTACAGGATATAAAGGAAAGTGATATTGTTTTCATATGTGCATTCTTGCAAAACAGACAAACTACTTGCAGGCTCGTCCTGTGATACATCTGATAAACACTAGTCAAACGCAATCATTCTATTAGCGTCTTCTATGTTCTCAGGATTGCACATTACTGATGTTCTCCAAGCAAGCTAGCATGATAAATATCAGCTGATTCGTTTGGGTGCTAATGTACCACAGACTCCTGTTTCACGAGTGTCCTAAAAACTAAAACTGTCCCCAATTTCTACAGCAATACCAAACTACAGCAGCAAACTACCCTGAAAACATTCTGGTTGCTCCTCAATAACGGAGTTAATGTGTTCAGGTGGTGTGGGAATATTCCCCATGTCAAGTCAGAACAACTCTTTAAGACTTGGCAAATGTTGTTGCACAAGTTGCAGAAATGCTAACATCACTTGTAAACAATTTTATGATCAGCTCTAAATAGTTACTTCTAATGTCAACTTGTCAAATGTTACACTTTTGTCACAAACTATATGCTCATCTCTCACGCGTGTCTAACACCAAACCTTTTGACCAGACATTTTGATGGTTACGGTGCCTGTCACACTCGCACTTGTTGCCCAGGTGTTGTTTCAATGCTCTAAACATAAATACATCACATTTTGTTTACTATATCTGTGTTTCTTCCATATTCCGGTTTTAAAGCACCAGTCGGAACAACGACTTCACAACTGGGATGATGGGACCTTCTTAACGCACAACAACCAAAGTTCCTTCTGCAGCAGAAACATTTGAGGACATCAACTTCTAATTTGTGAGGTATTTTCTGAAACTATCTGCTGAACTCCATCATGTAATAAAAAATTTAAAAAACAACTTACCTATGTTGACTTCAATCCTTGATTCTTCACCACGAAAGACCCCCCCACCCATCCACGCACCAGGAGGAGAAACACTCCAGCGCCTCACGTCTTCTGCCCCTGAGAGAAATCACACGAGAAAAAGAAAATACATCAATCACGGCTGTGTTATCCATCAATCTCCGAACATTGAATTATTACATTTGCATCTCCCCCACCCACTGAAAATCAAGCCCACTCAGTGATTTCGCTTTGGGCACCGAGTGGCTTCCATCTGCGCCATGCTGAACGTGATACACTTCTTCCCCGCACGGATAAGCTCCTTCACGCTCTCGTGCCCATGAAGGACGAATCAAAAGAGCAGCCGATACTTCACATGATCGGTAAGGCATCATAAACATCCCCCACAGAGTAAGTTCACTGTCATGGCACATTCACAATTCACTCGCGATTGACAGATAAGCCTATTAAGAGAGGCCTTCACTGTAGTTTAGCACTTAGCTTGGCTGGCAGGGCTTGTGCGTGTGCCCAGTGACATTCAGACCCTTCACAATCACCACATTAGTTCAAAAGGTGAAAACCAATGTGCGAAAAAGCATTAGCGGTAAGAACTTAATACAATAACCCAGAATATAAAAGAGAGTGTAAACAAATACTTGAATCGTGATTTGGAATAAAAAGAAATATGGATTTATCTTTCCGTTAACAATCTTGTCTTATCTACAGTCTGTCTGCAAGCCTTTAATTTCCCTAATGAATCGATCAGCGTAATTACAAGCATAATTACGAGCTTAATAACAATTGGACCGATTCTGCTATGTCTTATCCTTCCCATAAATAATATGTGCCTCTGCTGGCATGTGAGAGAGGATAAACAAACAAAAGAAAGTACTTTGAGTAATGTCATTAACAACTTCTTCAATAACTGAATGAATGAAGTCATGAATTAATGAAATCTACATGTAGACTCTTGAACAGAGTGTTTGTAGAAATACGTCCAATGGAAAGAAAATTTTTTAAATTTTAACGCGAGAGGAGAAGGAATAATCTTTCTTTTTGTTTAAAACATATTTAGGGAATAGATATCTGAGTGTGTGAAATTTGGAGCAGCTTTCTTGAATTTAAGGGGACAGTTGGGCCTTGGTGAAGGTGGAGCAGTAAGTGTAGACATGTATAAGGCTTAATTTTAGTATAACTTCCTATTGGAGTACAACACATGCCCTGGGTTCAAGTTGTAGCACTAAATATTGACATCATGTCAGACTATGTAAGTCATGGAAACATCAAAATCAAAAAAAGGTAAATAGACAAAATATTGCTGTCTATGTAAATATAGTCACTGTTCGGGTGTTCATGTAAGCATCAGTATAATATAATCTAGATAAACTTAGTTCTAGACCCTTCTATAAATTAAGAGCGAAGGTTAAAGTAACTGCTCTGGATCGTTATCTTTAGGGTGGCAGGTCACTGGGTGTAAGAGTCTCTTTCTCTTCTATCCTCTGCTGAACTCAATTTTTCCCTCAACTCGCTCTCTCTTGTTCAGAGGGCGCGACACTAATTTTAACGGAGTCAGAGAAAAAGTTGGAGGGCATCAGCGTGCATTCTTTTTTTCCCCCACTCCCCAAATGTTTAACTATGAAATTTCAAGCAGCTAAATTGGATGGTAGAGGAACAGAAAGAATAATAATGTCTTCAGGGGTGTTTGCTCTCCCTCTGTGAATATATGTGAGGAGTGTGTAAGTAATACAATATTCCCCTTCCTTTATCATCGCTACCTTAACATCTATGGTTCATTTTGGTCAGGCGTCTGCTGGGCGACACACACCACGCTAGACATTTCTGTTGGTTGACAGGACAAGGCTAATGCTCCATATATAAAAACTGTATAACCATAAGGTGTATGTTCACATTCAGCAGGAGAAGGCAGTCCCCTGTGCCTTCCACTTTTTTAATCCCCTTTTTTTTTTATCACTGGAAGATTTTTCAGGCAGCATTTCTCCCCTCTTGGAAGTGCCGCTCTGTGAAAAGAGAAAGTGGAGAGGAGCTGGGGGCTCAATGGGCCGGGAGAGAGAAGGGAGGGAGAAGGAGGAGAAGGAGGAGGAGGAGGGGTTGACGCTGGGTGCCTCCTTTTTAAAGCCAGATTCTCCCCAGATACCTCTGTCCTATTCATCAACAGCTTTTCCAGGGCTGTGAAAAATCAATGTGCTCTGCACTGCAAACAGTTCATAATGACGGGGGATGGAGGGAGAAAAAAAAAAAAGCTCAACTGCAACAGAATTGATTTGTTTAAGTACAATAACACGGCTCTGCAGCGCGGTGAGGAGGAGGCTCAAGCGCCCAGACAAAGACTGACTGGCAGCATGTAACCACAAGCAGTAATTGATAAACTGCTGGCAAAGTGCAAATCTGAACTACAGAAATCTGTTATCTGATTAAAGGGTTTTTTCTCTGAATTACCACAGAGGGAAAAAAATACACTCAAGTGACTGTAGCTTCTCTAAGAAACACCAAACCACAAATAAAGACATAAAATGGATTTTAAAAAGTTTGATGTTCTGAATTGTTTCTTCAGAAAACTTATTCAGAGTAATTGAATTATTCTTTTTTTCACCATTAGTTTAACATAAAGAAAGCATTTCAATTGCTTGTTTTATCTCAACATAACTGTATAATATTTATTTACTGATATTAAACTAAAGGCATACCTCCACCAATAATCTCCTTATATGTAATCAAGCTGCACCAAATTTCACACACTCATAGATATCAGGTCAGTCAATGAGCCTGATTTTTGTCATCAATTATTTACTGGGGAAATGGAGAAGAACCCTCATCTCTCACAACGTTAGAGAGAGTGATTAAAAAAACCTGAACACACAAACCAACCAGCAAACAAACAAATGTACCAGGGGGAAACATAACCTCCTAGCTAAAAAATCTTAGTCGTTAAACAACTAATTATTGACAACAATTGATACACTTTCAATAAACTGACTGATAAAACAACACACACACAACAATCCAGTCCACATCTGCTCTAATCTAGTGTGCTATTCACACATACACACACACACACGTTATTTGTGCCTTTGGCAAAGCGTCACTACATCCTAAGCCAATTCAAAGCACATGCAGAGTGGGTTTGATGCTGCATAAAGCCAAGTCATCAGAATGTTTAAAAGATAACACCACACTTCCAAAGACTAAAAAACATTCACAAGGTGAAATTTGAAATATCCTGATGCTGCAAAAAATAGCAGGGTCCTGGAGTAAGTTGTGTCAAAACAGAACAGCACAATAAAACATTCTCTCCCTTCCTCTTTTAACCCGGCCACAGAGGTGCATTTATCATTGTTATTGTTCCTTCACAGGGGCACTTCCAGGTTTAATTGGATCCTCATGAGCCGTTTTCACATATGAACTCTGGACAATGTGCAGAGAATCAGGTCGGGACATTGTGCGGAGTTGCCCTTCCACACATGCAGGACACAACCAGAGACTGTCCAGCACGTTCTCACCTACTGAAAACATTTTTTGTTTGGTTCAGGTGAAGGAAGGTGCTTGGGGAGATATGAAACGTCATCAACACTGTCACTCACTAACTGTGGATAATTACTAACTCTATTCACACATAGCTGAATGGGATATCACGCAGATATCACAACTGTCGGGTTCAACCAATTTGGAAAATTGCATTCCCACGTGCACCTCCTCCAAGTGACGTCCAGACGAGTGCAGTGTGAATTCCCCCATTGTCGCTTGCATTTAGCCACTGAAGCTGAAGCTGAAGCTGGAACACGCAGGAGCATTCCTCCTCCATCAGCACCAGGTTTTACCGACTGCATGAGAGACAGTCATCCTGTGCAAAGTGGCCATGAAAGTTGCTGGTGGGTCAGACGGGTGGCGGGAGTTGGACACCACCTGCCGACCCTGGACAATGACAGGAGAGAGGCACTTGGGGAGAAACCTGGCTCTGCTCTCAATGCTGTAGGGGAAAGCTCTTAAGAACCACAGGTTGTCCATTCACCCAGCCGGCTCGGAGGGGATATTAGTCCCAGTGGGCCACATTTGCATTTTAACTGGTAAATATAGTATGCGCATAGACATGAATTATGTGAGAACAGGGAAACAATGTGCTTAGGTAAACAAGTATTAACATGAGCTGATGAATATGCAGTAAAATTAAAGACAGGACTTCAATGATCTGGGAAGTTTTAATCACACCATCATGTTCCTAGTAAAAAGAAAACCGCTCTGAAACTTTTGACCTCCCATTCACCTCCCTCAGTAGTGCTTCACTTCCACTTCATGTTACCTTGGCAAAGAAATCCCAAATGCTCCTCCGGGCTGCTTCCTGTTGTTGATATGCTCAAGACATGCATGATCAACCGAGATACGCATCTCTGCGATTCAAAAGACGCCCGACAAAGACACTTGGAGTCAAAGGAGGAATGCTGGAACAGCTAATGTAGGAATGGGAGCCTGTTTGTTTGTAATGATTCTCAGCAGAGAAGCTGGTTTTCATTTTCGGAAGATGAAAAGAGGATTGAGTGGAAACACGCTGGTAATCATCTCGCCTCTGTTTACATGTGCACTAATAATGTGATTATATACAAATTAATTAAGGGAATACTCTGACTTCTGCAACTGTCGTGTTTAATCGGGTTGTTTCAGAGAAAATAACTTAAAAGGTTGAAAACTCATCAATCTTTCAAATGACATGTTTTGTAGATTTCATTAGAACTGCAACAAATTATTAATTTCACTATAAATTAACATTTTAATTACCATTACTGTAATTCAGTGAATGCTTATTTCAGTGTAATGGATCAAACTGAACCACGGTTTGGTTTGTTTGCAAAGCGAAAACACTTTTTTGGACAGTTAGGACTTTCAGACCAATTGCAGGAAGTTGAGACGGCATTAAACCATAAAAGAAGAAAAAGAGGAAGAAGAAGCCATAGCTAGAATAAAATATTTGAACAAGAAGGACGTTCATTCGGGGCATTCAAACTATACATTTGCGATAGATTAGCTAGGATACCTTTTATGAAATATAAAGCTAATGTATACATGTATAGCAGAAGGGTTGTGATGCCTGTATATACTGACTGAAACTT